AATAAACCCTTCACATGGAATCCTTTTTTTTTTTTTTGTTTTTCCAGATCACGAGGTACATTTTGGGCAACTACAGGACTCTATCCTCATTCATTCATCATCACATTCCCAAAGACTATCACCTTGAATAGCATAACCATACGGAGTTACTGTGGTGAGTTTTTATTATATTTTTATAGACCACAAACACTTTGGAACACCTTATCAGTGTTTACGTCATACTTGTTTGCAGTACGGAGTATGCTTATTGAAAAATGTTCGGGGGATTTGAGCTCAGGTTTCGAAACTTTACAAAATCTTGGTAAGAATTATGTAAAATTGTTACTTTAGTGAAACAATTATTATGGTTTAGATTTTTTTTCCACCTAATAATTCTTACTTTTAATTAATACACAGATATTTTATTAACTGATCTTCATCATCAAGTTACCAAAGTTGATCTTGATGCCACCACGGCCAAACATTTGCGATTCACAATAAAAAATGGATTTCAAGAGTTTTGTGCCATATACAAGGTAATTTTCCCCTCAAAATCAGTCTTTCATTTAGTATCAGTTACTCACTACTAGAAAAAAATCACAATTTCTGTGCGTTTTCATAAATTAGAACATTTTCTGGTCCAAAAAACCTGCAGGTAGAAGTCTCAGGCAAGCGTTCATGATCAGTGGGGAGACTTCTTTCCCTCCAAATCTATTATTTCATACAGGTGGGACCAAATATCACCTATGTGCATAAAACTATATTTAGAAAACAATACAATTATTAAATTTTCTTTCCAGATTCGGTGACCAACATGATTTTGATAATGACACCACACCGCGATATATTTGCAACCATGTATAAATTCTATAAAAGGTTTGTTGTAATTCTAGTACTATAACTAATGTTTTTAAGAATGGTGGTGGTGGGGCGGGCACAAAATGAGAAGACAGCTTTGGACAAATGGACAACGGACAACTATCTCTTCTCCTGCCTGGCCTTCCCCTACCGTAAGTGCAACCAGGCCGTGTGTCAGGGCTACGACGGTGTGCGGGTTTGCCTACCCTAGGGGCCACATGATGCCTTACAGGTGAAGCGAGTACGCATAAACCCACCAGCTATTGTGTCGTGTGTCGTCTTAGCCCTGACGGCGACATGAGTGGCATAGCCCAAGTGTGACAAATAGAACCACGCGCTTTACTACGGTCCTCTCTCTGATCCTGTTTGTGTTTCCTTTTGGTTTGATCCATTATGAAGGGGATGTCAAGATGCCACGCCCCTCCCTCCCCCCTTCTCCCTTCCACCCCTCCTCCTCTTCCTCCTGAGTAACACAATTAGCACAGTCCACAAGACACTCACTCGTTCAACTTGCTCTCACGCCACCCGTTCTCGAGGCCCTCTGCCGCCGCAGCCTCTCGTCTCCTGGAGTCCCTTTCTTCCAGTTCTGCAAGCGACGTACCGGGTGTTGTATAAAAGACACAGGTGCGGGCAGGTTTGCCTACCCGCTCTGCCCATAAGGCGCCATAGCCCCTTAGGTAGGCAAACCCGCTCGCACCTGTGTCTTTTATGCAACACCTGGTACACAGCACCCCCCTCTCCCCCTCCTCCCCACCCCGCCCCTTTCCCGTGGAGAGGCGCAGGCGACCGCCGCCGCCGCGCCGACGCGGCTCGCAGCTGTGCACAAAAAGTGTCAACGTTGACACCTGTTTCAGTCTAAGGTCACGCGGGCTCGCTCGCATTGACAGTGACACTGGTTGACACCAACGTTGACACGTACATTGTCTGCCCACGCGGCGGAACGGTCGCGTCCGCAGTTCGCGGCCACACGGACCGTGATAAACAAGCAGGCCGATATAGTCAAAGTGAATTCCAGTTAACAAAACATTTGGTGTCTAATTTCTTTTTCCTTTTTTTTGCGGGCTTTGGCGTCATTTCCTTTTTATTATTCCAGCCTGCCACATATAGCGACGTTCGCTGCTGCCGCTGCCGCTGCTGCTCCCTCCAGGACACTGGGGGGATGTCAGGTGAGGAATAATACCTGCAAAAATTTCCGCGACTATCCCAGGAGCCTTATCGACAACAACACCGGTTTTCCACCGCGGCCCCCTCCCGGAACGGCGCCGTGACTTTAAGGCCCTTTTAATCTAGAGAATTCATCCTGAAGTGTTTACAGTTACTTTGCGAGTTTCTTTCCACTCACGGTTGCGTGACGTGATCGTACTCAAGTTCAATTCCTGTGGCTCACGGGCAACAAACAAGCAATCTCTGAGGGGTGGGCCGATCTCAGCAAATCATTCAAATATTTCCTACCGATATTTGGCCGTATTTTTCCGAGGTAGCAACGCGGCCACGGCGTGCTGCGGTGACCACCTGGTCAAGAACAAAATTAATGTGTAGGTTTCACATGTGACTTGTCCTCGGAATTATCGCATTTCGGTTTTCGGAGGCAAGATTCGACACGGAAGTATTGGTGACGGAACGATTGGTGGCGAACACAGGGGCGGTCCCGGCACGTAGACAGTTGACTCAGCCAATTCATTTTCCTATGCCGTATAATATTGTTGTCGGTGCATCACACACTAGGGCCCGAACAATGCGGCACGGTAACGATCAACATGATCAGGAACCTGAAACGGATAATTGTCGGCGGTCCTGCCTTCCAGCTGCAGCAGCTGCCGTGTTGGCTGGCTGGGTGGCGTATCCCAGCTGCACCTGCTCAACTAGCTCGTACGAAGGCGGGTCTTGTCATCCTGTTCACCCACCCACTCAATGATTGCAGCTGTGACTACATGGGACCACACCCATACTTGACCGCTGCTCTTAGGCCACTTTTTGGATTCTCCCTATATTAATCTTACCCATGCATTCAGGGCAAGGACGTAGTACTTGGCTTGAACCCCCCCCCCCCCTTAAATCGGTCACGTATCATGGGTACGACCACCAATCCACAACACCTAGGACCTAGGCGATGTCCGCTGGCGAGCTTGTAACCGATTTAGGCGATCACCCAGCTGTAGGTTGAGCTGCTTCAGCTGGGCCTTCCCCGCCTACACAATCCCCAGCCGCTGTAGCTGTAGGTTGAGTGGCTTCAGCTAGGCCTTCCCCCGCCTACACAATCCCCAGCCGCAGCAAGATTGCGGCGTAAAGCTGGGTCCTTTACCACCCACGCGGGCAGAAGTAGTAGTTGCGGCAGGTCGGGGCGGGGGGCCGGAGCGATCGGCGTGCCCTGCCCGACGACAGGTCGACATATAAATAGGTGTGCGGGTGGGAGCGGTGGTCTTCCCGCCCACACAACCCCAGCAGCAGCAGCAGCAGCAGCAGCAGCAGCAGCAGCAGCAGCAGCAACTACTACTGCCGCAGCTCGGAGGCTGAGTGGGCGGGG